TCTCTCTGTCCATGGATTTTCCAGTTGTTTTGTTTTAGTGAGTGTTAATGTACTGGGCTAAAAAAAGTAGGTGTGTAAAGTAAATCCAATTCAGACTCTGAAGAAAAAAAAAAGGCTTGCTACCATCTTGTGTGAGAATGGACAGAATCAGGTACGTGGTTTACTGTCAGCCTTTTAGGGACAAAGCAAGCAGTCAGTTGATGCAGCAGCCATTAGTTCTAGATAACCAAGTTCCTTGTCCCTGTTCAGGAGCCCTGTCCATGGCTCTTGTGCTTGCTGCCCCCCCCCACACCAAATTTCACAAAGCACTGATACACAGGAGAGAAGAAACCAGAGGGAAATGCTGCCTGCTTTCTCTTTTATCACTAGTGACCAAGAAAATATCTGGGCTATAAAATAAATATGAACTGATGAAAGACAAGCAGATAATAGCTTAGATTTTAGAGGAATAAAAAGAGCTTGCCAAATGTTTAATATGCCTTGTCATTAAAACAAAAACAAAAACAAAACGTAAGGATACTATCTCTTCAGTGGCAGAGCCAGGTAGTGTGACAAAGAAGTAAGAATACTCCCTCTTGTGGTTCTTGGGAAAAATAATCCCTGTTATGAGAACATATGGAGAAAACAGAAATAATGAGTTAAGATAGCATCAACCGATAATTGCAGTGTGTGAGTTTCTCTCTCACCTGGTTTGGTGAGCCTAAGTAACCATTTTCAGTTGTGCTGACACAGACCCTCAGGGGAATGTGAGCTTGCATGGTGACTTCTGGCAGGAACCAGGATTGTCACATGAGCAAAGGATTCTTCAATCTGAGCTGTAAAAGGTTGTATTTTTACCTGGATTTTTTTTCTTTTAATTCTGCCTGAAGGGTAAAAGGAAAAAGCATTTGTCACCTAATCTCCCTGTTCTCTTCAGTGCACCTAGCCTTCCAGTGTAGCCTCCTCTTGCTCTTGGAGATGCTTTGACCTGAGAGGAATGTGTTTGGTGTTGGTCAACACACTGTGTCCTCTGAAACACACCCTTAGCCATTCCTCCCCCCCCCCGAGTTATGATGTACTTATGCATATGATTTCCCCTGCCAATTTGGGACATCATTTTGCAGCTTTGTCTTTCTCAAAGGGTGGGAAGCTGCAAGAGCTCGAAATAGGAATCCACTCATCTCCTAGGAGGGAAACTAGGATGACACTACAATCAGAGGACACTACTTAACCAGCATCCGTGGTGGTGGCCCTGCGTGAGGCTGATGTCTTTTCTCATAACTGATGTCCCTTGCCTTTTGGCTCCCTGTGTTTCACCATTAGAAATGTGATCTGCCCTCATTCCTGGAACATCAGTGTGGAATCACTGTATCTCCAAATCTGGCTTCAGTTAGAATGTACATGTCATTCTGGTTTGGCTAGAAAAGCCCTGGTGTGTGCTGCCCTCTCAGTGGCCTGTTTAAGATCTGTTGCTTTCACATTGTGTCCATGGAGAGTTAAATAATTTTAATTTCACCAGCCATAAAATACAGAATTATGAACACTGGAGGCATTTTACTGAAAATATTCAACTGCTTTATTGAGAACATTATATTCTTAAAAGAGAACACCTGTGACATGTTATGGGAAGCAAGGGACTGATTGAAGTGCCTGAAGATGCCCTGAAAACAATTGCCTTATTTTGATGGAATGGTTCATGTTCAAGTAATCAATATAAATGTTGAAGAAATATTTGCTTAGTCATGTTTTGTTTTAAGAAAACACTTTACTTTTGAAACAGTTCAACAGTGGTTACTTTGTTTAATTCAAACAATTCCACCTCTGGTTAATAAAGCCATATGCTTATGACTCCCAATGTTAAGTATGCCTTGCAATAGTCTCTGTGACTTATAGTAATTGGTACACAGCATGGTTACCCTTATTGAATCTCTACATCTCCATCTATTTTAACGGAGCCTTCGCCATCATCATCACTTCATTTCAAGAGCCCTGGGAAGTCCTATATCAAAATCTCCATAGCATTAGGCTCACCAAATCCACCACAGCGATAGGCTCCAAGAAACATTACAGGGAGGAGCTGGCAATACAGGTCTTGAGCCCTATGAACTAATCCGTAGAGGGACAGCTTGAAGAAGCAAGGGTCCTTTACTCCAGCTTCCTGACTTTTGGCTTTTAAGCAAATAGCCAAGGTGTTAGCCCAGAAAAATAATTTCTGACCACCATATATTTCTATTAGCCATCCACTATTTGCTGCTTTTGTGGGGAAGAGCAGTTTGGCTCTCGGTACACATATCTAGAAGCTCACAGCTGCCTCTGAAGGCACTTCTCGTCTCTGTGGGCAGTCCCCACCACATGCACATGCACACACATGCTAAATCAGAAGGTGGGAAAAACGCAATGCTCACCACTTCTGTTCCTACTCAAGTTAAAAAGCAAGTGACTTTTTGCTCCTTTGTTCTGTTAAGAGTCTTGTGTTTCCTGATCTTACTGGATTTCCTGGCTTCCCTGACACCACAAAAAGGGTTCTAAACTACTTTGGACTGTGATATTGTAAATTATAGCCCATTGTGACTCCATAGTCTGCCGGGCCAGGACTAATAGAGAATAAAAGCAATAGAGTTTTTAAAATTCATTTTTATGTATTTTTCTCATCAACATACATTCATTACACATGGTACCAAGTTTTTTTTTCAAACATGTCTATATTGTACTTACCCCCTGCATCAGTTAGTCTCGTCCATTTTACCTCTCCCCTTCCTGTCAGTCCCCTGCTCCCCTAGATAATTTTGAAAAGCAATGGGATTTTAATATAGCCTACAAAAACACCCCATTCCATCTTCCTGTTTGGCCAAGAGAAGGAATAGCCATGGACCTGGAACTAATGCCTCCTTGCTGTAGTTTCCGTGGTAGTGGCATCTACTATTTGTAAAGGCAATTTTGTGCATTACTGCTTATCTAGCTTTTAGTTACTCTTAAACAGCCATTATCACTCCAGTCTTCCCTCTCCTTCCAAAACCATTTCTTTACTTTAGCAATCAAGACCTTTTAGGCAACAGGGGTGGTTGCTTTAGTTCTCTTGTCCTCAGTAAGACTGAAATCAGTCTTTAGGCAATACTGTAGTAGGTATGGCTCTTAAAGCTGATTCAACCAACGGGCAGTTGGACAGACAATTAGATCATGGGATAATTAGTTGATAGACAGAGGATCTCAGTTCCTCCTGACTCTTACCTATAAGGTGCTGCCATGTCTTTGCCATAGGGATCTTAACATTATAGCATCTTGTTTCTTTGAGTATATTTATGAGGGTTGAGGGCTCTGTGATACAGCACTTTGAGCATGTGTGAGGCCATGAACTTCATCTCTATCACCATATAAAAAACAAACTAAAATAGCAGATGAGCTGAGAAATCAACAGAGTTAACTAGCAAGGTGAAGGTGGCATATTTTTTTTATTTAACCAGAGAAAATGAGAAGGGAGTAGGAATTACAGAAGGACTATAGGGTAGGAGCTGTCTTAAAGGCTGCCAATGCCGGAGTCCCAAGATAGGAACTTGTATTATAGACGGTGACTCAAAATTCCAATTTAATATGATTTACTTGTGCTGTTACATTAACTTATTATTTTCTATTCACTTCACACCTTGTAAGTTATCACAATGAGATTTGTCAACCCACATATGGGACACAGCCCAGGAGAGATCTTAAGTTGGAAGATCCAGATAGCTACACTATCTCATGCAAACTGTGAGATAGTAGAAATGTTATTCTTTTTTAATTTAAAGATTTTTAGATTTATTTACTTCATGTGTTGAACATTTTGCCTGAATGTATGTATTTTACCACATGCATGCCTGTTGCCCTGGGAAGCCAGAAGAGAATATCAAGTCCTCTGGAACAGGATATGAGCTGCCACATGGGTCCTGGGAATTGAACCTAGGTCTTCTGTAATATCAGGGATTGTTCTTAACCACTGATCCAATTTTCTAGCTTCCCCCAATATGTTGCTCTATGCCACCTACCTTCAATAACTCATTGCGTAGCAATAGACAAACAATAGTAAGTCCATCTTGTTTCCAACTTTATATTCATTTCGGGTCCCAACTCATTAGGATGAAGACTGGCCCTAACATGAGAATTAAGTGATCTGAGTTCCCTAATAGGTATACAAATCAAACATTTAAAGTTCATATTTAAAAAGTAGCAAACACAAAGTTCTTAGGGGTAATCACCAGCATAAAAAATAGAGAATTTGGGAAATTATTCAAACATTTTATGGTGAAATATTTATATTTGTGATTATAGATGTGGACACAATATCTTTTTAATACCCAGGAATTCTAAAAGCTTTAATTTGATTTCAGGCTCAGGAATGCTAGAAAGTAATACTGTAGTGAATTTAAGATTGTTCCATGTTTATTGGGAGAAGATGACCATGAAAGACAGAAGTGGAGAGCAAGAAAGGGCAGGCAGAACCTCTGAGCTAGCCCTTGACAGGAAGGAATGAAGTCAGATAAGACAGAGGGAACCTTAATCTGTGGTGCACATCTGACAGGTCTTGGCCAATCCAACACAAGAGCCTGCAGCTTCCATCTGAGAAGTCTTCTTTAGGCAGAACTAGCCGGCACCTACCTACAACATGCTTGGCCACTGAAGTCATTCAAGAACATAGCTTTAGCTAAAATACTAAGGCAGTTGCATGGGGTGTCAACAGTCTAAATTTTTTTAAAGTGGGAGATGTGAACTGTGCATTTCCATAGCTACCCCACAAGATCCCATGTTTATGGTTCTCTTTTGTCAAGTTTGACCTGATCTCTTGTTCATCCCTGCAAACTTACTGTGTTAGTTAATTTATGTTGCAAGTGATGAAAGCAAAACCAAAAAAACACCAGCAAAAGAAACTTACAAAAGAGTTTATTTTAACTCACAGTTCCAGGAGGACCTGCATCCAACATGGTGGGGAATGCATGGCCGGTGGCAGCCGGGTCAGGAGCCTGAGAAATCACATCTTCAGTCACACACTCGATGCAGGGAACAAACTGGGAGAGGGGTGAGACTCTCAGAAATGGATCCCAATGATGCACTTCCACCAGCAAGGCTGAACCTCCTAGATCCACTAACTGTGGGTCAGGCATTCAAATATGTGGGACTGTGGAGGAGATATCCCATTTAAAGCTCCACACTTACCTTGGTTTTGTTTGCCTGGTGGTTTGGTTTCCATGGCTTTTCTGCTTCTCCATGATTTAATTTTGCTTATGGCATTGATTTGTCATTTAAAGGCCCATGGTAACACATTCATTTCCTTAGATTTATTAGTGTTGCAGCTCTAAATTCTTAGGAGAAAAAAAATTCCATGATTATATTAGTCATGTTTCTATTGCTCTGGCAAACACCATCACCAAGATAACTTAGAAAAGAAAGCGTTTAGTGAGGTTTACAGTTCCAGAGTGCTAGAGTCCATGATGACAGAACAAAGATAGCCAGCAGGATGTAGTGGGGGATGGCTTAAAAAGCCTAAAGCTCACATTTCAAACCACAGACAGAAAACAAAGAACACACTGAATGTCAAGAGACTTTTGAAATCCCCAAGCCTGCCCTTGTGACATATCTCCTCCAACAAGGACACATCCCTAATCCTTCCCAAACAGTTTCATCAGCAGGGAACCAAAATTTCAAACATAGTAGCCTATGGGTCTTTCAAACCATCACAGTGACGTAAGCATTTTTCAGCTATCCTTGAAGGGGAAAGAGCTACCGTTTTCATAACTATTAACAGAGAGATGGGTAATTTACTAATCTCTGCAGATCAACACAGCAAGTTATTTTATATACCAACTCCAATGCAGGTTTATTTTGGTCAGCATGCTTGGATGGCTCTCCTTCCCTTCCTTCTGTCCCTCGTGTCTCTGGTAGATTCACCAGAGATCTCCATCACACAGATGGATGGATAGTATCAGGAACTGCCCTGGCTTGTGTTTTCTTTTGCTCATTTTACCCGGGTGGAAACTAGTCATATATCCTGTATCACACAAAAAAGAAAAAGGGCCCAGAAGCATACTTTACCTCTGCGCTCAGAAAGAGAGAAAAAGTATTGCTAAGTATTTAGCCAGTTTTTTATCAACTACTCTTTTGGTCATTAAACTTCACTTTCATGGGCACACCACATAATCACAGCTTCCTCAGGAGGGAATCCCAAGATTCCACCTAGTCTGTCACTGTTAAGTTTAAACTCTAGGATGTCTAAATGTGGACCATTCTCTACTTTAGTCCTGGATGTGTTTCCTCATGGACCAGTAGACAGTGAGTCAAAAGAGATGGGTTGTTAGTTTATTAGCCTTCACCCCACAAACTCAAACCAATGCTGTGTTTGTTTTTTTGGGGGGTGGTGGCAGAAAGGAAGACACTGGAAAATCATTAGGCTGTGACATTTATAGACTCCCACTGAAGCCACACTGTGCTCATGTGAAACAAGTCATTAGGTGCAGCCGATTTCTATGATCCTGTGTATCTTCTTTGTCCATTGCTTTTGGTAACCCCTGCTAGCTGATTCTTACAAGTTTATTGTTCTCCATGGGTTCCTCTGATCTGGGTACTAGGAATAAGCCCTTCCTAGGTATGGGCATCTTTCAGAATATTACCTGCTCGCAAAAATTGGAAACCCCAGCTTAATGTCAAAACTCAAATTGCTTCAGACTCTTGGTACTTGCTAAAATATTTCTCTTAAAAACTCTTGGGACTTGTTAACATACTTTTCTTAAAACTTAGTATCTTTCTATTTAACTCATTTTCTATCATTTCCATGTGCCTACTAAAATCCAAAGACTTTTCAGTTCTTTTTTTTTTTTTTTTCTTTGTCTCTTTTCAACCCCACATTGCATTAACTCAGCTTAGTGGTATCAACTCTGGAGCTGTCAGGCTAGAGCAGGAAAACCACACCCTAGATATGACTTTCTACTCAAAGTCTGAGTCATTCAGATCGTCAGGACTCTAGGCTTCATCTTTATTGAGACCCAATCTTCTCATAACTTAGATGACAGAAGCAGTTGACTTTTCCACCCAGCAAGCCCGGGCCTTTCTCACTTTCAGGTTCCCTTTCCTTTTCGTTTTCTAAACTTTTGGACAGCCACTTCTTAATCTCAGTAACAGTGAATAAGCATGGCTAATCCTCTTTCCTAACTCTTCCTTTAAGTGTTCATGCTAAGCAGGAATAGTACAAGATTTCTGCTTTGTAGCCAATGACAGCTTTCCTAGGTACTACAACAGTGTAGATGAGACTTGGCCTATCAAAGCTGTATTCTCTCTCTCTCTCTCTCTCTCTCTCTCTCTCTCTCTCTCTCTCTCTCTCTCTCTCTTCTCTCTCTGTTTTTCATGACAGGGTTTCTCTGTATAACAGCCCCAGCTGTTCTGGAACTCCATTTGTAGATCAAGCTGGCCTCAAACTCAAAGAGATCCACCTGCCTCTGCCTTCTTCTGAGTGCTGGGATGAAAGGCGTGCACCACCACGGCCTGGCAGCTCCACCACAAAGCAGCATTCTTACTCTCACTTCTCAACCACTAAATTACTGGAATATCTAGTTAGTCTCTTCCACATTAACCTAGAAAAAAAAGATGAATGAATGAAATCCACGGAAGGTATATCTAGTACAAAAATAAGAGAGGTGTGATTTCTATGTTCCTTCTAAAGAAACTGAAGTTCAGAGAACCCAGGAACATTGTCTGTGGTCAGGCTGGCAAGATGGCTCAGTGGGCCAAGGTAGTTGCTACCAAGCCTTATATGCCCTGAGTTAGATCCCTCTCTCAGACCCATTCTATGGAAGGCAGGAATACACTCTCCTTCGACATCTCCATGTGCATACCCTGGCATGGGTGCCTAGATACATATACACATATAAATGAATTAATTTTTAAAAGAGAAAATGGCCGATGGTCAAAAGGGGTTATAACTAAGCACCAAGTGTGAATCCGCTTGACCTCATGTTCCCACAGCCACAATTGCCTCACCATGTTTGTAACAGTTTCCAGAGATCACACTTGCAGCTCATTTGTGTATGAGCTTAAAAGACGCTAACATTTCCGTGATGGGATGTTATCTCTTACTTTAACCAAATCATAATACTTGCATGCACTTTAAGAAGCCATGACTGAGCAAATATGTGAGAAGGATTTATTTGCTTGTCTGCCCATGATTTATATTTGAGTTTCTTCTTACGAAAGTTCAGTTTATTACATCAGTTATTTACAGAAAGGAATAGTCTTTCTTTTCCCTCGTAGGCCCATGGTTTTCCTCCCTCCCTTCTTTGATTCCTTCATTCTTTCACTCAGAACCCCAACCCCATGTTAGGCTAGAAACAGAACCATACAAGATATTATATCATCTTTACTTTGTTGAACATAGATGCACAGCCTAGTTCTTAGAATCCTTCAGGGATGGAGTAATATAAGCCTGGAAGATTTATATATGTAAAATTTTCTTCCATGTAAGTAAATGGAGAGTCATAAGAGAAAATAAAAAAACCTGAAATTAAATTCCTCATTGCTTTTGTTGGTTTAGTTTATTAGCTGTTCATCAGATGATTGGCTTGACTGGAGGTCTTAGTTAAGATTTCTATTGTGGCAATGAAACACCATGATGGGGGGGGAGTTGGGGAGGAAAGGATTTATTTAGCTTACACTTCCATATCATTGTTTATCATCAAAGGAAGTCAGGAAAAGAACTCAAGCAAGGTAGGAACCTGGAGGTAGGAGCTGATGTAGACGCCATGCTACTTACTGGCTTGCTCGCCACGGTTTGCTCATCCTGCTTTCTTTTTTTTTAATTTTTTCGACATTTTTTATTTAAATTAGAGACAAGATTGTTTTACATGTCAATCCCAGTTCCCTCTCCCTCCCCTCCTCCCCTGCACCCCCAACTAATGCCCTACCTATCTCATACCCTTTCTGCTCCCCAGGGAGGGTAAGGTCTTCCATAGGGGGTTTTCAGAGTCTGTCCTATCCTTTGGGATAGGGCCTAGGCCCTCCTCTGTGTTTCTATGTGGAATGGACTCCCAAAGTCCATTCCTATGTTAGGGATAAGTACTGGTTTACTACAAGAGGTCCCATAGATTTCTGAGGTCTCCTCACTGACACCCACGTTCATGGGGCCTGGATCAGTCCCATGCTGGTTTCGAAGCTACCAGTCTGGGGACCAAGACACCCCCCCTTGTTCATGTCAGTTGTTTCTGTGGGTTTCTCCAGCCTAGTCTTGACCCCTTTGCTCATCACTCCTTCTTCTCTGCAACTAGATTCCAGTTGAGTTCAGTGGTTATGTGTGGGTGTCTGCTTCTACTTCCATGAACTGCTGGATGAAGGTTATAGGATGGCATATAAGTTAGTCATCAATCTCATTATCAGGGGAGGCCATTTAAGGTAGCCTCTCCACGGTTGCTTAGATGATTAGTTGGTGTCATCCTGGTAGATCTCTTTAAACTTTTTATGGCTCCCTCTATTATGGTATCTCTTATCTTGCTCTCCTCTATTTTTACCCCAAATCAATCTTCCTGCTCCCTTATGTCCTCCCCACCCCTTTTCTTCTCCCCTTCTAATTCTCCTAGCTCCCTCTCCACTCCCCCCATGCTCCCAATTTGCTCAGGAGATCTTTTCCCTTTCTCCTTCTCCAGGGGACTATGTGTGTCTCTCTTAGGGTCCTCCTTGTTTCCTAGTTTCTCTTTTGGTGTAGATTGTAGGCTGGCAATCCCCTGCTCTATGTCTAACATCCATATATGAGTGAGTACATACCATTTTTGTCTTTTTGCTACTAGGTTACCTCACTCAGGATGGTTTCTTCTAGTTCCATCCATTTTGCCTGTGAATTTCAAGATTCCATTGTTTTTTTTTTCTGCTGAGTAGTATTCCATTGTGTAAATGTACCACATTTTTTCCATCCATTCCCCAATTGAGGGTCATCTAGGGTGCTTCCAGTTTCTGGCTATTACAAATAGTGCTGCTATGAACATCGTTGAACAGATGTCCTTGTTGTATGAATGTGCTTCTTTTGGGTATATGCCTAAGAGTGGAATTGCTGAATCTTGTGGTAGACTGATTCCCATTTTCCTGAGGAATCGACATACTGATTTCCAAAGTGGCTGTACAAGTTGGCACTCCCACCAGCAGTGGAGGAGTGTTCCCCTTTCTCCACATCCTCTCCAGCAAGCTGTCATTGGTGTTTTTGATTTTAGCTATTCTGACAGGAGTAAGATGGTATCTCAGAGTTGTTTTGATTTGCATTTCCCTGATCAGCCTGCTCTCTTATAGAACCCAGGACCACCATCCCAGGGATGGCATGACCCATCATGCA